TGGGTGCTGGGAATCAAACCCGGGTCCTCTGCAAGAGCAGTCAGTGCTCTTTACCGCTGAGCCATCTCTCCAGCCCCACCCTTCATTTTAAAATTATTTTTATTTTATGTGTATGTGTGTACTGCCTGCATGATGTAAGTGCACCTGTGTCGTGCAATGCTGTGGAGGTCAGAAGAGGGCGTCAGATCCCCTGGCACTGGAGTTATAGACAGTTGTTAGCTGCTATGTGGGTACTGGGAATCGAACCCCGGTCCTCTACAAGAGCAGTCAGTGCTCTTAACTGCTGAGCCATAAAATAAAAATAAACAAACAATTCATAGAGGAATGCATCTCTCAACTTCCACCAGAGAAGTTTCCTTATGCAGCAGATGGTGATTAACACAGAAACCCACAAGTGGCCAATTGCAGAGAACAAGAGGCTGCAGAGTGCTTATCCCTGCATAGGACACCTATCTCAAACTTCTGCCTCTGAACGCATAGGGATCATTGTGGAAAAGGGATGAAAATATTGTAAGAGCCAGAGGTGGTGGATGACCACCAGGAAATAGTTTTCCAGACAGCTGGTCACTTATACACATGAACTCGCAGCAATGGTGACAGCATGCACAAGTCCCATGCAAGCTCAAAATTCCAGCAGAGACATGGGGAAGTAGGTAAGAAATCCCAACCACACCTAAGGAACTTTTGGCTGCTGGGAGCGGGGGAGACAGTCTGTTTCAAGGGTGTGACTCTTGCAACATTAAAGACATTTTAGAACCCTAGCTTCTGTTACCATTGAATTGGGCTGGGGCAGTAAGGGAAGATGTGGATAGGGGAGAGGATCTAAATACTATAAATATATTGTATGAAAATCGGAAAATTTCAATTAAAAAATAAGCAAAATTTAAAATATTTTATTTCTTATTTTTATTTTATGTATGTGAGTTTATTGCCTGCATATGTGTAAGTGCACCCGTGTTGTGCAATGCCCAGGGAGTCAGAAGAGGGAGTCAGATCCCCTGGAACTGGAGTTATAGATGGTTGTTAGCCACCATGTGGGTTCTGGGAATTGAACTAGGGTCTTCTGCAAGAGCAGTCAGTGCTCTTGACTGATGAGCCATTTTTCCAGCCCCATGGAGAATATTTTTAAAAATTATTTTTATTTATTTTTATTGTTTTATGTGTATGATGTTATGCCTGCATGTATGTAAGTGCACCTGTGTTGTGCAATGCCCACAGAGGTCAGAAGAGGGCATCAGATTCCCTGGAAATGGAGTTATAGATGGTTGTTAGACACCATGTGGGTGCTAGGAACTGAACCCTGGTCTTCTGCAAAAACAGCCAGTGCTCTTAACTGCTGATCCATCTCTCCAGTTCCCATAATTGGAGAATTTATATATCCAGATTAAATATGAATTCTGGAAACGCAACCTATTTTTGCAAATAAATGGAACCTGTATAGCTTATTTAAAAAACAAATAAAAGGGGACTGGAGAGTTGACTCAGCAGTTAAGAGCACTGGTTGCTCTTGCAGAGGACCAGGTCTGATTCCTAGCACCCACATGACAGCTAACCACCATCTGTAACTCCAGTTCCAGGGGATCCAACACCTTCTTCTGACCTCCATGGGCACTGCAAGACAAGGGTGCACTTACATGCAGGCAATACACTTATATACAAAAATAAAAATAATAACTAAAAAGAAAAGAAAAACAACAACAACAACAACAACAAAAGTCATTAAAGAAGCTTAGTGTGCTAGAGCATGCCTTTAATCTCAGCATTCAGGAGCAGAGACAGGTGGATCTCCGTGAGAACCTGGTCTACATAGCAAGTTCCAGGTCTGTCAGGGATACATAGTGAGACCCTGTCTCAACAACAACAACAAAGAAAAACAAAAAAAGAACAAGAGAAAGTCATTAAAGGACTGAAAACATGGCTGAGTAGGTAAAGGCACTTTCCACCAAGCCTGACCTCCTGAGTTTGATTCTTGGACCTACATAGTGGAAGGAGAGAACTGACACCTGCATGTTGTCCTCTGACTTCCACAGGTGCATCATGGCATGACTGTGCACTTGATGAACACACACACAGACACACA